ATTCGAATTTTGAGCAAATTTTYAAAATTTCGCAAAACGGAAAGAACAAATAAATGCGAATCAGACGTGTTTCCATCAACTGGCTTCAAGCAAATCAGTTACGTCAGACGCATGCGTGTAGTAAACAGGAAGTAAAAGTCGTATCTCAGGAAAATGGAGAGAAGTTATCAGGAATGTGTTGCTACTATCAGGAAAATTGTACTTATTCTGTCATATCAACTAGTTCTGGCGATGTTACATGATGTCTGGAGACGTTGATAAAGAAATGCATTTTTTTTCACATTACGGGGATAACTGAGAAGATGCCGACAGCAGGAGGAAGGTCCAGCTCCCAGTYGCAGCTGCAGTCGCTCTGGTACCGGTTTCGGACAGACATCGGGAACAACAGATCAACATGTGAGGTAAATGTTCACTACGTCAGAACAGATTCGACAAATGTGTTTCCATCTCTCCTTTTGAGCATTAACTCTTTTTCGAAAAAAAAAAAAAACATCTCAAGCGGGCATATCAACTTTTATGCGAATTAGAGGAAGGTTTTTTGAATCAAGCCATTTCCATTCACCTTTTCTGATGTGACACTTCAAAATGCACATTAAAAMACCCTGATGGAAACACGGCTAGTGAGACATATCACCCTTTGTCTTAATCTGTTAATCAATATTTCATACTCAGATTAAACTCTCCCACAGGCTTTATAACATTAACCAACAAATCTGTTCATGAAGTAAAAACTAAGGTCGTGTGAACTAGTCCGGTAGACTCGATTAGATTTGGGAACAACATTATAACATTTGTTTACATTTTCAGCTGGTGCGGTTCGCTTTCACAAAGTAAACCCTGTGAACAACCTGTTCAACTCGTTGCCTGTGGGGGGCGCTGCACCAAGAACCACTGAAGGAATCAACATAAAAACCTCTGAAGAAGACACTGAGCACAACTTCCTTCTTGGTGAAATGTAAACCAAGTTAGATTGAGGTCAGATGTTAGCCGTTGTAGGATTTCTTTTTTGGCAAATGTTCCAAACAAAACTCCTCAAYACTGGACCCAGCATGAGCCGAAGATGAGGCAGAGCAACATGGAGAAGGTTGATTTTCATACAAGGCGGCTGAGGCGGCTCCATATAAGGAGGCATGCACTGAAGAGCACATCCAACTTCACAGCAGGGATGTCCACTTTACTGAAAATGTGCGAGTTATATGAGAAACTTTATTACTCATTAGTCTGCTTCCTTCTTTTGGAGTGGTTTCCAGTTGCTTTGCATTCACATAGGCATTCGAACCACACGAGTTCACGTCAATCAAACCAAGACCTAGGATTGTAGGTGGAGCAGACATCGCTTTTTTGGTCCGCATCAGAGTTTGAATATGTATTCAAACCAAATGAATTGGACCTTCTGGGCAAACAAACTAGAGTTTGATTAAAGCGGACTAAACAGGGCTGGTGTGAAWACACCCTAAAAAGACCTGCAAYTTATTAAACTTAAATTAAAAGACTTGTTTTACTTAATTACAGAGATCATATTAGAAGTGGTCCTATTCTAGTTGGCAGACTTGACTTCATCCTGTCTTTGAGTTAAGTGCAGATCCATGACAGTTTTTGGATACGTTCTCACTCATTCTGCCTCACATTTATCAAAGTTTTAACCCCATTGTCTTTACAGAGCAAATTACAATGTGCCCCTGGCAAAAAATGAGGGAAAAAGTCAACAGGAATTAAGTTTCAGTGCAACTGTTTACTCAACTGTGGCCTGCAGTTATTGAAATTTTATCCATGGTTTTGTGTGACTACTGCCGTAATGAATTCAGTATGGCTGTGATTTTCTCGCTGAAGACATGCTCATGCTGAGCCGAAATAAAGAATGGGTGGGATCTGGGATCAGTGTCTGGGATCTGGAATTGGTGAAGTGGGTATGAAGAGCAGATCAGGAGAATCCTTGAGGTTTTACAACACAAGATGGAAGAGCAGGACACACACAGACCCGTCCTTTCTGCCAAATTTCCAAGCGTAAAATTTGTTCTTACAAACACACCCGTGCAGTGTTGTGTAAATATAGAAAGATGAAATAAAGAAAAAGCTAAACCTAATTTCATATTTGTTTATGCCCTCATTGTTGGGTGTGAGGTAAAAACAAGCCCAGTCTTAGAAACAGAAGCCATCAAATCTGACATCTAGAAGTCATTTAAACTGAACAAAACATAAATAAATAAATAAATAAATAAATAAATAAATAAATAAATAAATAAAGCATAGAAAGAGTCAAAAGTCTGTAGTGCATCACGTAAATACTGCCCCTGTTGTTTATTATCCCTTGAATGTCATTAAAAGTACAGCTCCTTGGTAAAATTGAGATCTAACTTCTGTTATGAAACCTTAAGAGGAAAAAACTAAACAATCACAGGACACCAGTACTGGACTCCTTACACTAACTGCACATCCATTTCAGGATTCAGTTTAAATGTATTGTTTGTTTTTGGCACTGTTTATTACAAAATAGAGGTGACACTGCTTTTTTGTACATTTTAAATMTTTTTTTATGTTTTTTGTAGTTCATATTTATTGCTGATTTACTATGTCTGATTTTATTATTCTGACCCTGTAAAGCTCGTTACTCAACTAAAGATATTTCATTTATGTCAAAAAACAAAGAAACTTTGACTTGACTGCTAAAAATATTACAAACGAAAAACTCAACTTTCGAGTCACAGATATTAAAACATCTTTTTACGACCACAACTTAGCCACAGCACAGCAAGCTCAAAGAACATCAAAGCATATTCTGGATCATTTTATTACAGAAGATTTCAAACCCAATGGTGTCACATTAGGTCACGGCTGTATTTGCATTGTGTTGTGAAGTAAAAATTATTACTTAAAACGCCTTTTATCTGCTGATTTTCTCACATCCTATATGTTGAAAAATCAGGTAGTAGCATTAAACACTAACAAGAATATAAATACTGTTTCTCCTTTTGCAATTAAAAAAAACTTTATTTTTTAAAAATTTAGTGCGTAAAGACAGCTGATCAATACTATGTTTAATAAAAGACTTTTTTTATTAGTATTTCTATGTGAAATATATGTTAAAACCTGAGATCAACTGCCCATTACATTATGACCACCTACCTAGAATTAAGCCTTTTTGCCACCAAAATATTTCTGACAACTCAGAACATAAGCAAACAACATCTGAATCTTAAACAATTATGTTAACAGATCAGTTAGAAGCTGATGATTGTGGGGACAGGTCTCTGAAATGGGTTTTGCTTCCCACTGATGCCATCCAATAAGCATTTAAGAATCTGACAGAGTGGGTGAACACCTTGCACTTTCTGTTGTCACCTGCAGTCGCAGGCCTCTGAGATACTACCAACAGGGTACATGAGAAACTTTGTTACTTTACAGTTTTTGTGGGGACCACTGCAACTGTTCAGACGGAAGGGTCCTACTGAAGGGGAGTGCTATTACCAGGTGGGTGGTGGTAGCCTGGTAAAAACCAGACCCTGTCCTTCACTCTGCTTCGTACAAGGGTCTGGACTCGCTGCTATTGAGAAGTGATTCTTGCTGGAGGCGTGGCCTCTGCTGAAGCATGTGTGTGTGTGTTGCTGTGACGGAGGCTAAGCTAAGAAGCTAACCAGAAATCGCGAGCGCTGTAAACAACCCTACTGAGAGGAGAGAAGTACCGAGCCGAACGTGACAACTGTAAATGAGAGCTGCTGGTTTGTCAGACAAATTTAATTTAATTTGGAAGCCTTATCAACACAGACTGGCTTCATTCACTTCCTCCACTGCCGTATGCTAAACTAACTAGCAGACACTGCGCAGAACATTGACGTTCTGTTCTCTGATTGGTTCAGCTAAAAATCTGCCAGCGAAATCCTTGACTATGGGAGAAGTCCCAGACGGAGCAGTGAAGGGAAACTAGAATTGAGTGGAGCTGCATAGGAAGCCAAGGGCCAGGCTAAGGTGGTGGGTGTGTGATTGGTCAAATACAGATTTTTGTGTGGTAAGTAACAAAGTAACGTACTTTACGCCAGGATTCAGACTTTCCAATTACACAATGTTATGGCTAACTGGTGCATCTACAATGTTATAATTCTTACTGTGTGCTTTTATTCCACATGCAGTTTTTTTGCAGATGTAATATGAGACAAAAATACTGATTAATATAATTGTGCTTAATAGTATCTGACTTTAAGGTCATATAAATACCATGATGCTTCTTCATATAATAAATGATAAAACTGAGTTCTCAGGTTTTCTGCTCTGTATGAAACACTGTACTGTTTCCTTCATGCTCCACACTGCAGGACTGTTCCTCTCCTTGWACACATCCTGATAGATGTGCTGTGACAACAGACAACAGCAAAGAGCCTGTGCATCATCACCAAACAGCTCCTGACAACAACCCTAGTTGTGCTGTCGGATAGACCAAGATAGCAGCAGACACACTGATCTTTTCAGTGCCGTTTCCTTGAACACACTGTCGTGTGCCACATATAATGCTGACACCAACAGAAAGAGCATGTCTGTTCGCCTCAGGTCTGCGATGACAAAAAATATTCCAGCTTCAGCTACGGCGCGCATCTCCGCACCTCAACGGTTAACACAACAGAGCGTGGCATTAGTTGTGAGTGTGAGGTGTGTTTACATGAGCCAGAGGGAAATGCTGTCATCCATCATGACATMGTCATTTTAAAACTGTCTACAAAATCCTGTAGCACCTATGTACCTAAAAGACAATAATAAATATTTTAGCAAAATGCAGATGCTGCATGCTACGATAAACACACTCACAACCAAACACACAAAAAGCACTTCCCCTTCCTAAAATATTCAAAACGGGCCTGAATATACATAAATAATCATAATAATGTGTTTACTTATGAGATGTACTTTGAGGTGGAATTAAATATTTACGTGGCACTTTCAGCAGTGGATTGAACCTGCTGTTGACAGGATCTAATAAAGTGAGGACAGGTGTGAAAAGAGGACTGGTGTACCTGGTGCTGCTGGAGATTCAGGAGATCCACAGCGGTCACATCCACTGATGGCGTGGCACTTTTGGGCCGACCCTCCCTGGGCACGCCTTCCCCGTTTGCAGCTCCGCTCTGATTGGCTGGTCCRTTGCTTGTCACCTCGGTCCCAGATTCTTGCATCATGACTTAAAAACCTGAGAGGAGGACAGAAAAACAGAAAACAGGAACAGCTGTTAAAACAYGCAGCCATGAGGTCACATTTCAGTGGACCAAACTACAAACATCTGTTGTATCCTTCCCACACCATTATACTTTAGGTTTCCCCTGTTGGTTTGTGCTTCTCTGCGTCTCGTTTGCTTGCTTGCAACAGTGAGGTGAAACTCTCCCAGTCTGCCTCAGTAGTGCACTGAACTCTTCTTGATTTTGTTGTTTCTGTTGCAAACTCTGAGCAGTTGATAAGTGCTTACTTACTTATCAGGAGACGTGAGCGGGGCTCGGGTTTTGTTTGTGTTCTCCAATACAGAGTGTGTGCCGGGGTGTGGTGGAGGGGCTGAGGTCCAGCACACATAGGAGAGGAACCCAACCTGAGCAGAGTGGGAGCAAAGGAGCCCAAGAAAACACTGGACCTCCAAAACAAAACACTTTCTATGGAAATGGATATATTTACTTGCATGGCTCCCAGAAGAACCGCTGCAGAATGGCTTTTTAATGGGAAACAGGGCCACTGTGTGAGGCCTGCCAAAGGATCTCCTTGAGAAACATCCAATATGAAGCCACGCGAAAAAAAGACTAATCCAGGAGGAGTGCTCAATTAACACCAAAATACAAGTCTGAATATAAATAACCCTTTTGGAACTGGAAAAATAAAATTCTGTCTTTCRTGATTTAATCTAAGTCCAGAGGATCACATACAAATACCAGCAGTGTTGTTTTAAGAATAAATGCATGCATAATGTAAAAAAAAKTGTCAGCATCAGTGTTAAAAACCAATATATAGATATTTGTTGCTTCCTCCGTTGTGTTTTTGGATGCACAAAATCCAGACAGACCCCCCCACCCCGCCCCCATATAACCCACCACCTCACACACACACACACACGCACTTCCTTTGTGTCTCAAGGGGTAAGCTCCAGTGACACTAGTGCATATCTGCGCTTGTGTTCCTCAAATCAGCAGAATGATTTACAGCTATTGTGCGCTGGTCACGGGCCTCATCGGCACAACGCGTCTTGCCTCCCAATTCCAGATCAGTTAATGAAGCTGACCAAGTCAGGCAGGAGCAAATTAACTTGGCTGATTAATTATTTATATGAAGCAGAATAAATGSCTTTAAAATACTGTGTGTCACCATAGAAGAATGTGAAAATGGAAACTAAACGCAGATTTATGAAGTCACATTTAAGGCATGTGATAGGAACGGCCATCGCGAGTGTATATGCACTGAGCTCTGGTACACAGGCAGAGGGGTCTCCAGAGATCAGATCTAAACAAGATGCAGGCTCTCTCAGACACCACGGGGACACACACTCAGAGTGACAGATGGGAAATTGAGGCTGACAACTTGTCWCACAAGAATATTTACAGAGCATAGGTGAGATAATGATCTAGATGTGGGATTACAAAAAAAAAGTCTGATAAGCAGAGCTGCACTTTTAAACCCTTGTTTTCGAGGAGTTTTCCAGTATAGAATCATTTTTAGTAGTTTTAGACTAAAACTGTCCCCAAATAAAACTCAAAGTAAAAGTGCACTGTGGTTTTATGTCTTCTCCACTTTAGAAACACGCTTTCAAGAAGCATAACTGCATGAGTGATCTGACACTGTGGCCTGTATTTCGGTTCAGCTGTGTGTCACAACGCCCCCACACTTTTTGGGCCCGTCTCTGCAGCCTGGCCCGCCGTACGGATCCCGTTCTCTGGGATGGACTAGAGCCGGCCCCCCTTTCCAACTCCAGACAGATGTTGACCTGGCTCACCCCTTTCAGTCTGGCACAGCCTCTCTCCATAATAGGATTTTCTAAACAAGGAGTGAGCAATAGGAATACTGTGGGATGAGAAGCAGCCGGCCACCAACTCCATCTACAGGCCCTCGCTTGCACCAGCGCTGAGATACCAATTAGAAATGTGCGTTTCAGAACTAAATTAAATGTCATTTRAAGTAAACCATGTGCAGACAGTTGAAAAAAAGGATCTTTTTCTTTTTTTTACTGAATAAAATGGGTTGAAAATAATGCTTATAATGCATGCACTGCAATCCCATGCACAATTTTCATAATTGTAATGGAGAGGCCTAAGTTTCCAAATGCACAGCATCTCCAAAAGTAATCAAGAGAATGAGCCGCAGGGCTATTTTAATGTATGCAAAACTAGTGACCCACAATAAAAGGAGAGAATGGCTACAATGAATGCAAAGTAATGCGTGCACGCTGGGAAGCGGCACTGATGAGGGGACGGCTAAAATTAACACCCAATTAATTTTCGAATTGACAAACAAATGAAACCCATAAATCTACTTTCTCATTAATTTTACCACAGAATAATTCAAAGCTGCAATATCATGAATGAAAAAAAAATTGGAGGGGGGGAAAAAGGAAAATGGAAAATGGGCATTATCCATCATAAATATCAAGCAGATAGGAAAGAGCATTATTAGAGAGTTGTGCTGATAACAGTGTTAATCTGTGGAGCACTGAAGCAGGCAGACCATCAGGAGCTGAAACCCRGGCAACTTGGCCGTGTGACTTGGCCCCATGTAGGTCTATTTGTCTGTTGATTTTCACTTGTGTGTGTGTGATGACTCAAAAAGCTCAAAATGTTCCTATCCGATTCATTTTTACAACAAATGAAGCATTAATTACGGGTCAAGTAGCCTGTTAAAAGCGGTGCAGTTACTGGGGTTAGATTTGCATGCTTTAAGCACAAATATTCCAGCACAAGACAACACACAAAAGGCATTTATTATTTTTAATGGAGCATGTCAGTTCAGTTTTTTTAGCAATAAGAAAAAAAATAAAAGAGGAATCAAAAAAAAATTCCAGTAGAGCAACTCATAACAGCAGATTGCAGAAACAAAAGTAACAGGGTTAGTAATTATTAGGTGCCTCGCTGAGCTTCAGGGGAAGTTACCTGTAAAACAAGTGTTTGAAACAAACCTTCAATTATAAAAAAAAAAGCCCAGTTTGTTTACTGTTTGTTTTCTTTGCTCTAACTCAGATTAGGAGGGAGTACAGTACAAGAGAAACATGTGCCTCCCACCTGACCAAGACAGGTTGAAGGTTAAGAACAGCCAGCAGCCAGAACTCATCAGTCAACTGCTCGCTGGAAATCCAATGCCGGTCCCTCTGTCGTCATGCTCGCCTGGAATTCGACAAGTCAAACAAGTCAGCAGTTGATTCAAGGTAAGGTCGGCCCGCGCAGCTGCGCTTTGACCCTTCTCCATGTTCTGTTTTTCTTTAATGCTCATGACAGTAAAGCCTCAGTGGCCACCTGCTTCGATTCACAGAGTTCTCACACAGCTTGTTTACACAAGCACACAACAAAAGCACAACATTTCTTGGGTGGGAGATAAAGACACAAAAGAGGAAACAATGGGGAGAGGTTCACTTTAGAGTTGTTTAGGTTCGGCTTGGTTGCTAGACTAGACAACACAACGGCGTGCACCGAAGGTGAAACAACACAATGCTTCTCAAGGTTTTTAAGAAGCTTATCTTTTGCTGTATTTTGGCTCCTGATTCTGTGGAGAAGTCAAAAGACAAACAGAACCTGCATAAAAAAAATACCACTATCACACACCTGATCGGTAACAACAAACCTGTCTTAGCATCCCCGTCTTAAAAGCTCGCCTCGGGACAACAGATGCAGAAACTGGACAAAATCCACAGGGAGCTGTCCAGTCAAATACCACACCTTTAACAAACCACCTCCCCCTCGAACAAGTCACAGATAAATTATAAAGGTCTAGAATCCCTTGAAGGAATGCATATTGTCCACCATGTTTCATGCCAGAGTAGTAGATTAAGATAWTTTTGCACTGCGGAACAATGGAGTTGATTACACAATGATTATGTTGAGTTGTATCCTTTTTGGTCTGACCTTAAAATAAAGTGTAATCTCAGCTATATCTCCAGGTGTCCTCTCCTGATGAGTGGAGTCATTAGAGCTTAGCAATAAAATCCCCAAACGTCACTAAGAGGGGGGCATCATATTTGTACAGAGGCTTATGGGAAACAAAAATTGCGCAAGATCCTGCTGCAGATAAACCGAATCAGAACAAGTTAGGCAGGGTTTGGCTTTGGTGTGGAGAAACTTGATTTTGATCTGTAGTGTACTTAAGTTGCTCATTACATTGATAAAAAGCTTAGAGAGAAGAAGAGGGATGACAAAGGGTTGAAAACTTCAGAATCACAGATGGTTAAAACACAAAAAGACCTCAGACTAGGGCTGAGTGATATGGCCCAAAAGAAAAATCTCTGATTTTTTTCATCCCAAATTCAATTTTTGATTTTAATCAATTTTGCCTTCAAATAGATTTTGCAAACAGATTTTGCAGTGAGATTGTGAACCCTAACCAGTTCCAGAAAACTGAAGGAACAGTGCCTCCTTTATTGAGAAGTAGATCCTCTCTGCTAGCTGCCTTACTGTCGTGTTGTGTACCAAGCATCTCGAGGGACATGTGGGGTGACCTCTGAACTACAGAAGCACCAAAAAGAGCATTGGTGGGAAAAAATCCTGATTTTCCCAAAATTAAATATTCATAAATGGCAAATTTGAATTAATCAATTATATTGATTAATCGCCCAACCCTACCTCAGACAAAACATTTATTAAACTAAGGTAAATGTGAATCAGATGTGTCGGGTGTGTCAGATGCCAAAAATGGGGACACCCCCTGCTCTGACAAATATGATAAGAGTATAAGTTCTGAATGACTCACGGCTACTACCACCTTCAGTTTTAGTTCAGTTTCTGTAAGTATGACTGAGCTGTAGTTTTGTGTTGGCTAATGTGAATTAGCTGTGGAGTCCATCTTGAGTTAGTTTGACTTCAAAGTTAATCATTTGTCGTTGAAAATAAATCAAAGGTTGATTAAAATCTGTCCAGTGTGTTCCAGAGACATTTTGGTAACAGACAGACATGTGAACACATGCAGACAAGCAAAAGCATAATTGTCTGTCTTCACCTTCGGTCGGCCGGCTGT